TAAGATTCAGCAGACACATTGTCTTCTGGCAAATACTCTTTAAACAAGTCTGTCCATGCATCCATACACTTTTCAGGTAGATTGTGATCGGTTTTAATACTCATCATTCTAGCAGCCAACGACAATTTAGACAGACCTTCTCTACAACCACTGTAAATTGGCTCATTCGCAGCTTCTAACATTTCATAAAACTTTTTTGTATCTAAGTTAGGTTCTTCAACTTCATCATCATCATGGGTTACAAATGCATCACCTACCATATCATGAACCCTATCACAATCTACCATTTGTTCCTCTTCGTGATGATAGCTATTACTACTGCTACCTTCATTACACAAATTCTCAACTGGTTCAATCTGCAAATTGATATTACTACTGCTACCTTGATTCCCAAAACTACCACCTTCTCCATGTTGATACCAAATATAATAATATGGCATGAAACCTCTATTTATTAAATGCTTCCAAACATTTTCACGAGGGCCTAATTTGGTATTGCAACATTTTCTACAAGGACAGAACAGCTTACCACTTTCCTGCGTGAGTGGTGTAGAATCTGCTTGATGCATAAACGTCTCCAACCCCTCCAGAAATTCTTTCGTCACCCTCCCGTTATTATCTCTGTGTGAATACATCCACTTCCGGAACTCGAAAATATTTCCTGGACCGGACATTTTGTTTTGTGTTTTATCAAGCTTATAGCTGATTGTTTTTTGGTGTGTTTCAAATGAATCACATATGGTGGTATTTATAGAAAATTTTCGAATCTGAGAATTTACTAGGAAATTGCTAGGAAAAGTAGGTACAAAACACGTTTTTGATTTTAATTCGATATTTTCTATCCNTTTTATCAACCCCACATAGCTTTCCTCGAACTATCTACCTGAAGAAAAGTTGAGAAAAAGCTACGAGGAGTTGATAACAAACTATTCTGTTGACGGTGAACTCCTTTCAGTTACGAATTGAGTATTTTCTATTTGTTTGGTGTGTTTCAAATGAATCACATGTGGTGGTATTTATAGAGATTTGAGAATTTACTAGGAATTTGCTAGGAAAAATAGGTACAAAATTTAAATTGGATATTTACTATCTAGTTCCTCTTAATTTCGTAGTAAGAAAACCAGTTCCTCCTAAATTCCTAGTAAGGCTTTACTAGGACTTTACGAGGAAATGTTTTACTAGGGCTTTACGAGGAAAGTGACTTTTTCCTCGTAAGAGCCACGTAAGCTTACTACAACCTTACGAGGAAACGTATTTCTCGTAATTGTACGAGGAACTTACGAGGAAAGCTGGTTTCCTCGTAAACTGGAAGTAAACTCGTAGTAATTTTACGAGGAATAATTTTCCTAGTAAAGTTTCCTAGTAAATGCTTAGTTTTCTTGTAGTGAGAGACGGCGGCATAGATTAGGGCAAATAGCTAGATTTATTCCGTTGTCTTAACCAACTCGAACTTAATCTCGGCAAAGCTTCCGAGCGCCGGGATTCCCTTTGTACTCTCTCCGTTTATAAATAAAACCTCATGTTCACTCGGTCAATCTAGATCTACACCTTTATAATAACCCACCGACGAGTCCCGTCACTCATTTTACTGATACACGACCGAACTCGGTACAAACAATGATTCTCTTTTTCTTTTTTTTTCTCGCATGTCATCTACAAATAAAAATGAAAGACCCATACTTTCTATTCTGGGTTCAAATTTTACAGAGTAAAAAAAAAAATGGTGAACGTATTTCAAGCACTACCCGAAATATAATTTTTTAAAGAGACATATAATTGGGAAATAAAGTAGGATAAGAGTGTTTAAAAACAAAAAGAGGGTAGGATATGAGTAATTGGGATGGTAATTTAGATGACTAAGACACGGGATGGTAATTTAGATGTTAATTTGAAAGCTGGTTAGACTCTTAACTCCCTTCGCACCCTTCAGAGAATGAAGTCTCTTTTTGTCTTCCAATCGTCGGATCTTTTTCTGGTTTCATTCCGATTTATGCTTTCCATATCGGACTTTTTATTTAGGCGAGTCTGGATTTATTTTGTCATTGGTTAAATTATTTTAAATCCTGTTTTGCTTTAGTTTTGAATTATTTTTGTCCTTGAATATGGTCAAACAATCTCGATCCAATCGCCATTACATAGGAGCGGATCCTGTAACGGAGTAGAGCTGATCCCGGTAAAATGATCAATGATTTTTTTTTTTTAACTTTTTCTTTTTTTAATTTGATCAACGATCAAATAATTTGTTTTGAATCAGAAATTATATAAAAAAATGGTGAACACATTTAGGATATCAAACACTACCCGAAATATAATTTAATCTAAAAAAAAACACTAGATATTAATTCGCACAACCGTGCGGATTTTATTTGGGAAAATTTCATTTTTACACTTTCTTTAGTACCACTATTCAACTTTACCATCAATCAAAGGATATTTTCAAAAATAACTAATTCATTAACGTTTAAAAGACTAAAATAACCTTTACTTATCTTCTCTCATGGAGATGCGCCGTCGCAGCTTCGCCCTGTCTGTCTTTAACGAGTTCTTCATCACGTCGCGGATCCTAATCGTCGATCTCCTCACCCAACGTATCCCAGTCTACTCCCTCGCCGGAAACTTCATCCTCAACGCTCACTCCCTCTCCGAAACCTCCACCAAAGCCTTTATCGTCCGAATCCTCAAAAACCTGAACCCCTCCGCCTACGTGCGCGCCTATTCCGATAGACCGCAGGACATGGTCTCCGGTTTTGCCAAGACGGAGCGCACCATGCTGGCTCTCTTCCTCCGCAGGCTTCACCTGTGGCCTCGGTTTCAGTTGGATGTGTCTCAGGAGCTTGAGAGGGAGCCGCCTGAGGTTGTTGATATAAGAGTTCCGATGTCGAGTTACATGGTGGGGATACAGAAGGCGATTGTTGAGGTCATGGACATGTTCATTTTTTATCCATAAGAGGTGTTTTGCTTAATTAAGATTATTTTCAAATTGATAAATCGTTTAATACAAATATAAATACTATAAATATAGAATTATATCAAGTTTTGACCTATGATATAAAAACTATTTACATCAAAAAAAAACACACCTACTTTTACACACTAAAAACTATATTATAGCCTAACTATTCCTATAAACTTACTTCGCATATAAATAACATTTAACTCATTCCTAATATTTTTTCAAAAAATTTGTATGTGAAATAAAATAAAATAAACAAAAAAATTTAAGTATTTTTCGTTATTTATTAAATCAATATGTAATTTCTCTTACATTTTAATAACTACTATAATTTCATTGAAAACACTCCTCACCACCGACTCTAGACTTCGGCGGATGGATTCCTCGATGACGCCGTAGATAAAAATGCCACATCATTTATGAACAAACCCCAAACTTACAAAAAACCATATATAAAAACCTATCTAATGAAACTTAAACAACGAATATTAACTTAATTAAGGTTATTTTTAAATTGATAAATCGTTTAATACAAATATAAATAGTATAAATATAGAATTATATCAAGTTTTGACATACGATATAAAAACTATTTACAGCAACAAAAAAAAAATAGACACCTACTTTTACACACTAAAAACTATATTATAACCTAACTGTTCCTATAAACCTTACTTCGCATACAAATAACATTTAACACATTAGATATACAATATTTTCACTTTACACTCTTATTACATTATTTCCATTTCATTAATATTTGGTGTCATTAGAAGAATCCACTAAACCACTAAATCGAAAAAAATATACGCAAACATAATGATTCCGGCTCCGCGCTTGCGCGGAGAGTATCCAACTAGTTTCTAATATACTTCTGATAAAATGGAAATATTCCAATAATAATGCAATTTCCCAATAATGATAAATAAAGTTTTGTAACGATTTTGAAAAAGAACAAAAAAAAACAGAAAGAAGGTAAAGACCTTTAAATAAATAAAATCTCAAGCTGTCTTATGATCTTCACACAGTGCTCTAATCCACTCTCTGCTCCTCCGTTTGCCGAATGATGATCACCGTTGTTGTTACCGTTATCTTTAACTGACTTCTTGTTTCTCCTTTACGGTTCTTGGTTTAGTCTAACTTGAGAGGAGTAACTGGAGAACTGTTTTCATTGGTTGTAGTAACCGCGACGTTCTTGTCCTGAACAGTTTCTTCCTCCTCATCCAACAACACAATCCCTTCAGCGTTCTTCTCAATTTTCAGAATCTCTGCCTCCATTGTTCTTTTTGCAGCATTTTCCCCAGGTTTGTAGGTCTGCGGAGCACTGGACTCAGCTTCAACAGAAGAAGGTTTAGAAGACAATGTGCTACAGTTTGTTAGAGGCTTTCGCTTCTTTCTTCAGGGCTATGAGTCATTACATTGATCACATCGACTCCAAGTTCTCGTGTTCCGCTAAAGGACACAACCTTGAAGCAATACTCAGAAGTTGGAACTAGTCCAGAGACAACAAACCTTGCGTTTGGAGTAAACAATGTGCAAAAGTAGACTTCTCTTGGTACTCTTTCTCTGTGACCTTACGATGCCAAATACTGTAATTAACAATCTAAGCAAACAAAAATTACAGAGGCGAGGATCACTTACGCGACAACACATAGAGCTCCAATACACATCTATTCCTAAACTTAAAACAACAAGTTTTTGCGAAATTTCAGGAGCACAAGCTCTTCAACATCAGTAGCACAGACACTTACCAAATCTTCACGGAAACTCTCAAAGTTAATCCCATCCAAAACCACCATTGATATAGCCTCATTTCAAGACAAGTATAGCCTCATTTCCAAAGCACTTTTGTCATTAGAAACAAAAGTCCCTAAGCTACTAAATGTTGCAGTAGTGTCAATATTTCAAGAAACTCTACACCAACAACTGTTACCAGGCCATGGTTGAGAGCTGTGATAGACTATTTCTCTTACTTCAATCCCAGTCTCTTCCCATGTCTCTCGCCTCACAGCCTCTTCTAAGCTTTCCCCTGGCTATCAAAATCATCATTTATAACAATAATAACATACAACAGAGATGGCTTAGCAGTGTATCTATCATACCTCAATAAATCCAGCTAAACAACTCCACATTCTCGGCACAAACCTAGCTTGTCTACTCAAAAGCGCACGATCATTCTCTCGATCAATAACCAACATTATAACCACCGGGTCAACCCGGGGATAAACCCTCTTTCCACAAGCCTCGTTTGAGCATTGTTTTCTTCTCCCAGCTTCCTTTGGAACAGTTAAACCTCCACAAGCTCCATAAAAGTGTGACACTTTATGCCACTCAAGCAATGCTCTCATCTGTCATTTTATAATAATAACACATAGTCATAGTTACGTAACTTACGTATATAAAGTAAGAGACTTTAAAGAAGCTTAAGCTAACAACATACATCTCCTGCAATAGCTAACTCATCCATAGCTTGTTGATCCTCCCAATCAGCAGTCACCATTAATGTCCTAACCTCAACGAAACAGAGCTTCTTACTTCCCAACTCCAAAACGACGCCGTGTTCTTGTTCAGAAGACAAATCAACTGCCCAATACACTAAATCTTCATCCTCTTTGTGTCCTAAATACACAAGCGAGTTCTCATCGAGATTCGGTAACAGAGACTTGCAATCGGATAAGGTGATCCATCCGAGATGCCAAAGAGGCGTCGTGATGCAGCAGCGACGCCAAGATATGGTGAATCGAGAGGCACTGTGTTACACGCGCCTCCACGAGGCATCTCTGGAAGCGGAAGCGCTCCGTCTAGAGAATACCGAGCTCCAATCTTTGAACCTCCACCTCAAGAAAGAGCTAGACCAGCTCATGCAATCCTCTCTCCGAAACCGCCTCAGCTATGACAGGGCTCCGCTTCGCAATCTTTCCGTCTGAGAGAAAGGGAATAACGAGAATGTATAGCTTGCTTTTAGTTTAATTAACTAGGAATAAAATAGTATTTTTCCATTAAAATTTTAAAGGTAAAAATAATTAGTGTAAAGTTGAAAATGTGTATAAGGAAAGTGGTATTCTTCGCAAATTCTCATTTTATTTTCAATTTTATATGCATATATATTTATTTTAGATCATTAATAGTATATATCTTTAATTTAAATTTTATTACAAATAAATATTAATTCATTTTAATTTATAAAATAAAAATACAATTTCTATAATGTTTATATATACATAATTCATACATAATTAAATTATTACAATAACGAATATATATAACATAATTTAATTACAACTATTTTATAAATTATAAACTAAAATAATTACATATGCATGATAACATATATTTATACAGTTTACAACATATTTCAGTTTATTTATGGAAGATATTAAAATAAAATATATTAGAAGCATAAATATTTTTTATATTTAACATAATAGCTAAATTATCATAACATATAATTTAGTATATTTCATTTAAAAGAAAATATTAAATTTAGTGGACATTAATATTATTTGATTATATAGTATATTGAATTAATATATTATGATTTACAGTTACAGGTTTCTGCATCTTATTTCATAAAAATGTAAATATTTATCAAGTATGAGACGGGTTGAACGCCATATAATTAATTTATATTATAATAAATAATTATTTAATTTATAATAAAATATACTTGAATAATATAAGAAATAAAAAATAAAATTACATTATAAGTACGGATCTTGTTAGAATATAACAGACCGGTTTTGATTCTAATTTGTATCACATCCTAAAATCTATAAAGTAACCATATATCGTTTGGATTTGGAATATATTAGTTTGGTTCAGATATATCCGAAATCAAGTCCCATATTTAAAAGCAAAACATAAGATAAGAAGTAAATACTTATTTATATAAAATTGAATATTTAAAACATTTAAGTTAAATTTAAATACTTATTCTAGACCATCACAAAATAAATATAAAATTGAATATTTAAGTACATATATATGTTTCAAATATTTATACTTATGATTAATTTGAACATTTGGATCGGTTTTTAAGTTTTCCGGATTTTCAGTTTTTTTGGGTTACCCCGTTCAAGTTTTGCTAATAACACTTCGGATATGAATATGGTTTGTACCACCCTAAGAGACCAATTTTCTTTTTTTGCATTTTGGACCAAATACAAATCGAATTGTTAGTTTGTGTTTAATTCAGACTTTGGATTACAAATTTTATACTTAAACCTATTTTAAATATAGACAAAACGATTATATAAAGTTTTCATCAAAAACTTATTCCGCGTTTGAAAGCGCGGATTAAAATATAGTTTATATTTATTTTAGATCATTAATAGTATATATTTTTAATTTTAATTATATATTTTTAAATATTTATCAACTATTTCAAATAAAATAACTTATGATTTACATGTTGTAAATAATGAATTGCTTAAAACCATATTTTTGTTACTTTTTCTTATATAATTATCTTATTGTATTTGTATTTAGTTGTCAAACAAATTAATATGTGCATGAAAGAAAGATATTTGAAAAATATTTTGTATTTAAGATATGTTAAATTTTTACCCGTCCTTCCAAACTGAATTTTCTTTTATTAATATTTTTATGTTTATTATTTTTCATTTTATATCACTGTATAGAAATTTTTTTAAAAATATGTTAATGTTTATACATGTATTGTAGTTAGTCAGCATATTATATTTTCAATATAATTATTTTATATTTATGAAAATAAACTTTATAACTATATCAAATTAATATAATTTTATAATATGTACTTCAATATAAAAATATATTTTAACATGATTGATTATTATGATTATAAAATAGAAAAAAAATAAGATAAAATTTCATTGTTAATTTTCTAACAGTTCTATATATATTAATGCATATATCAAATTAATATAATTTTATAATATGTACTTCAATACAAAAAGTTATTTTAACATGATTGATTATTATGATTATAAAATAAATAAAAGTAGGATAAAATTTCATTTTTAATTTTATAAACAACAGTTCTATATATTAATGCATAATAATAGTCCATTTTAAATTAAAAAATAGTGAAATTATTTACATACACTTTTTGAAAATTAAGATATTATTATAATATTTAGATCAAGATAATAATTTTCTTTTAATATGATTAATTGCGATTATATAATAGATAAAAATAGTTTATAATATTTATTTTTCATTTGTAAAATGATAACTGAATATATTAATGTATAATAATATTTCAAAATTAATCATAAAATTATTGCAAATATTTATATATATAAATTAAGATCTTGTTAAAATCTTTTTAACCAAATTTTTCAAAATTTGAATATATGTATATATAATTATATTTTAAATAAAAAGATATCAAAAGATATTGTGATTAATGTATTTCAAAGATTCTATATATTATAAATTTTTGTTTAAAATACATTTAAAAAAGAAAGATTAAGAGTGATCCAACTTAAAAAATCACACATGAAATGAGATTATGATTTCTATTTTCATAGAATAGATGTAATTCATGTGTTTTGAACGGTAAAGTAAGGGTTAAATGACCCGACCCGAAGTGCACATGCTTAGTTCTAGTCTTCTAGATGCATAATCGAAACTTGCAAGGAATTTCCCCTATATGCAGCAAGACACATGAAGAAATAAAAATGACGGTAACTTTTCTGTGTTACATATCTTAGTTGAAAGGTTTCAGCTAAACCAAAATGATAACCCGGTTTATTATTCTTCCGGTAAATATATGAACAATTCACAGCCGCCACTGAAAATTGCTTTCTGGGTTTGCAAAATCTTCACCATGTACGCTGCTAAAATGAGGCATCTCCCAAGTTAATGTTTCAGGCAGTATCTTGATGTCAGTTTGTCTAAGACCTCTGCATATTCCATTGGAGTCGCTTTACTGCAGAATACATCCTCCCATATCTTCAAAAGCTCTGAATCCAAAGAAATCAGTTAAAGTAAAACTACAACTACATTCCAATGTAAGCTCATTTTCAGTCAGATTAAAGATCGTTGACATGGCATTAAACTGATAAAGGGAGTACCATTTTTCTCCGTTGAGGTAAGGCACATGACGATCATGTTGAATCGAGGAACCTTTGTTAGGTTCTCAATGTATTGAACAGCCAAATCCATATCGTCACTGAAACATGCAAGAAACCATAAGCACCAAATGTTTACCAGAATTTTGGTGAACCGAGAATGCATAATGGTCGGTTTACTCACTTGAAAAATGAGGCTACACACTTGATTATGTCAAAAAAAACAGAAGAAGTCAAAGCGTTCTTGAAAATATGAGGTAAAGAGCTTGGAGTCGTAACCTGATAAAACATTTACAAACCCGATGAATGGCGCTGTCATTTAAGGATTTAACAAATTAGTTTTTGCAAACCTTTAACAACTGGGTTTGTAATGCACGGTTGCCTGAGAAACTCCGCCAAGAGTTCTCAAATTCGTAAGCAGATTTAGGAGCTTCAATGTTTTTAGAAACTTCAGCCATTGCAAGTGACGCTGCACGAGCAGCAAGCTCTTGCACTGATTGCTTTAGTTCCACCTTTCTAGAAACCTGGCTTCCCTAGAATGAGGAAGGCATTGCAGCATCAGACAGGATTTTTTTTTTACTACATCAACTTGTATAACCATAACTTAATTGCAAATACTCACCGTTCGAGACAGCTGACTACCATTAATGTCAGAATAGTTTGCCTCCTTTTCATAACTGTCACTTTTAAGCGTCAGCTTCTTGATGTCTACCGGTTCTGTGATAGCTGAAATTTTCTTGGAAACTTCATTCTTTCTCTCCTGAAGATGTCACCAGTTTTCGTGACAGGTTTTATGAGACAAGCTCTCAAAAATTACATGAAGATAAAACTTCTGTGTTGATAATATCACACAAACTTCACTACTGAAACTAGTTCTACACCGACCTATTGGATGTACATGTTTGAACTGAATATATATCTAACAAAGTAGCTTTGGTATATACCTCAAATTGTACACTTTCGATGAACTTCTTTCCCGGAATTTCATTGGCCCCTGGGGTCTTCATCTTGATTTCCGCATTTGGCATTTTTGCCTTCTTTTCTAAACCGGCTGTTTTGAGCAATTCTTCTGCAGTGCTTTGCATTGCTCCAGAGGCCCTCTCAATGATTTCCTTCTCAGTATTCAAAAAAGTTGAAACTTTCAGTGATGCATATAAACTTTATCTGGTAAATGGAGTATGTCAAAAATATTACTTTCTCAAGCAAAGATTTGATGTCGGCATACTGCTTCTTAAGTTCCTGGCTTTCAGGTTGTAATCTTAAAGCAAACTCAGCATCTGCAATAACAGCAACACTTTATAAAGACATTGTATGTATCTTTAACAGAAAAGAAATAGTATATAGTTCCGTGAGATACCTTCTATGGCTTCTTTAATCATGCCGAGTTGTTTTCTTGCTGTTGCTCGGCGTGAGCATGCCTTTATGTATCGATCATCAAGATTTAACGCTTCTGTGCAGTCTGCTTCAGCCTCTCGATATCTAACGTAACCAAACACTAGAGCCTCAAGAAGTCATAAGCAAAGCAAAAAAAGATAAAGAAGTTTACCTTTTGATTTTAAGGTAAGCCATAGCCCGATTTGCAAAAGCCACGGCATTTGGTGATAGAGCAATACTCCGAGAGTAACAGTCGATGGCTTCATTGAACTTCTTCTGCTTGAAATATTCATTCCCCTGAATTTTGAGAGGGAGAAACATTATCAAGTATTCATCACCGAGAGGAATCATATCAAATAGCTAAGTATAAGCTTGACGAGAAGTAATACCTGCTCCTTCTCTGAGTTAGCATCGAACTGTGTATCATGATGGTCCACGAAACCACTTGACAAATGACTCATTGGACCGTACCTTTTCACAAAGTCATATTGCTTTGACCCACTACTCTGAAATGTTTCAATAACAAGAAATGAGTTTAAGAGTAAGCTGAACAATTATCAGCAGGGAAAATCAACGAACTAGATGGTTCTGAAGAGAGAAGAACGAACAAGGTTGGAGGAAGTAGATGGTTGGTGTTTCATTTTCTTGTCTTTATCCTTCAATGAAAGTTCCCAGTCCTGCATGTCATTCAAAAATCCCTGGAAATCCTGGGAATATTTTGAAAACCCAAGAACGAAAAAGTAAAGATCTAATTCGTTCACACTAGTCTTACTCATGAAGTCCAGAAGCTAAGTGGAATAGTTTCAAACTTTTAATCTCAATCTTCAAGTAAAATCCGACGAGTTGAATAGAGATAGTAACCTGAGCTTGATCGCGGCCGTGTTTGTTCGGTGACCTAGCCATTACTGAGATTCTCCGGCAAGAGACGATTGTTCTGGAACAAGATTGACTTTCAATTTTGTAATTTTAAGTTGAAAATAACATCGTCTTGGGCCTTATGTTATTGGGCTGATTTATAACCTGTCAATTAGCGGGTCAGGCCCAAATTCAAATTGTTTCTTGAGGAAAGGGAAACCGCAAGATGCTTAATCAAAATCAAAAGCTTTCAGATCTTATTCAAGAACACAACTTCTCTCTCTCGCTTACTACGAAAAAGATGACTGTAAGTCCGACCAATCTCTAATCTCCCTTACTGTGTTTTGCGTCTGATTCTTCTCGGTTTGATTTTCTTTTTTATCGATTAACGGTGGTTAAATTCTTCTTCGATTTTGGTTTTTGTTTTTCCAGTTTACCATTCCAATTGATAACGGAGATGCCTTGAAGAACGCAGAAGCCGATTCACAAAGAACACTGTAAAACTTCTCTCTCTTCTTACATAAGCTTGTCGATTTCTGAGTGGGATTTTAGTTTTTCAGTTTTAGGGTTTGATTTTGAAATTTTTGATAGGTACCCATATGTCACTGGAACTTCAATTGTTGCAATCAAGTACAAAGATGGGGTTTTGATGGCTTCCGACATGGGAGGTTTGTTTCCTTTCCTTAGTTTCTACTTGTTGTTGCGTATCACTGTCTTATTGGGTTATTCGTACTTATAATTTCTTGCTTATTTTGGTAAAGCAACTGAGTTTATGCTTCTTAGTTTGTCAGAAGTGCTTAATCGCTTGCAGTGTTTTTTTTTTTGTTTTTGCCTCTTCTTTGTGTTTATTTTGATAAGAGCTATTTCTTTTGGGTGAACTAGATCATGTGTTCCAGCTTTGTAGTGATTGGCTTGGATTCTTAGTGGAGTTGATAAGCTTTTAATTGACAGTAATTTGTTTTCTTAGTAACTAGTCTCCCTATAATGCTCCTTGTGTATACATTAATGGACTG